TTGAGGCTCGTGGGACTCGAGTTCTCAGGTTGTAACGGTTTGTTAAGCACCCGTAAGCTTAACGGAAGTAGTGTAGCTCGAGAGAGTCTCTCGGGAGACTGGATTAGCCACACGTTGTGGTGAACCAGTATAAATCTTGGTGTGCTCCCTTTACTCCTTTTTATTCCGCTCTTTACTTTATCCCTGCGATTTTTATTCTGCGAAAATTTATAAACATTCTCGTGCCTCACTATTCATCCCCCCTCTAGTGAAGGGCACTTATTCTAACAATTGGTATCAGAGCCTAACTCTCTAAAAGCCTTAACGGGTTGAGAGAACGATCTATATTTTCTTGTTGAGAATGTCGTATGCAGGATTAAGCGAAGGACACTCCACCGTTAGACCTCCACTCTTCGATGGAACAAACTACACCTATTGGAAGGAGAGAATGAGGATTTACATTCGGTCAATCAACTTCCAACTGTGGTTAATCATCAAAAATGGTGAGACTATGCCAATGAAAAAGGTTGGTGAAATCACCATCCCAAAGAAGGAGGAAGAATATGATGCTGAAGACATCAAGAAGGTAGAAGCTTTTGAAAAATCTAAACACATGATTTTTTGTGCAATTAACCCGGATGACTACCGGAAAATTTCTTCTTGCTCCACCGCAAAAGAAATGTGGGATAAGCTTGAAGTGACATACGAAGGTACGCCTCAAGTCCGTGAAGCTAAAATTGATTTTCTAACCCATGAATATGAGTTGTTTAAAATGAAGGAAATTGAAAGCGTTGATCAAATATTCGACCGATTTTTAAAGATCATCAACGATCTCCATGTCCTTGGTAAAACATACTCGAACAAAGATCTTGTTCGAAAAATCCTTCGGAGCCTAACACTGGAATGGCGTTCAAAAGCCGATGCCATATATGAGTCGATTGGTAACACCAATGTCACCATCGATGGTCTTCGAGGTAATCTTAAAACTTATGAATCCACTTTTCTTAAACCTTCTCTTGACAAGAGTCCCGGTCTCGCTCTCAAAGCCTCATCCTCAAAAAGGGTGGAGGTAAGTGACTCCGATAGCGATGACCATAATCCTTCTTATAACTTGCTCGAGAAGTTCTAAGAGTTTTTGAAGGAAGAACTTGGGTCCCGAGATTGTAAAAGAAAGGGGGAACCCGTTCCAACGTGCTTTGGTTGTGGAGAACTTGGCCACATAAAGCCATATTGCCCAAACCGCAAGGAAAAGAAGAAGAAGGAACGAGCATACATGGCATGGGATTCGGAAAGTTCCGGTGACGAAACCGCCACCTTATGTCTTATGGCTCATGAACGAAATGGAGAGGTAAGTACTTCTAACTCTTTCTCATTTGAAGAATTATTTGGTGAATTGAAGAAAACTTCAAAAATTGCCAAAGAGGCTAAGGAAAAAATTCATGCTTTGGAAGAGGAAAATAAATTTTTGGAAAATGATACTTTTGACCTCAAAAATAAAATTAAGGCAATGAATGAAGATTCTCTCCTTGACCAAAGTTCTACTTGTTCCTCTTGTGAGTCTTTAAAAGTAGAGAATATAGAACTTAAGAGCACCATTGAAAAAATTAAGGTAGAAGAGCCTAAGAAACTTTGTCAAGAAATTAAGAATGATAAACCACCTAGAAGAACCAATAATCCTAGGTATAACAAAATTAATTTTAGAAAGAATAAAAGTAACAAGGTGAAACAACCTAGAATTGACTCTAGGATTTTTACAAATGGTAGAAATATTTTGAGACAACCTAGAAATGAGTCTAGGAATTTAGTTAATAATTCTATGAATAATGATTTTAGATCACCTAGAAAGTTTTTGGCTCAACCTAGGCATATGCATAATCCAAACGTAGTATGCCATTATTGTTCTAAGATAGGACACATAGCTCCCGTTTGTTTTGCTAAACATAGGGACACTTC